CTAATCACAATAACCCATTCCAATTGTGGAAGATGATGTCGTATTCAAGAGAGATGATTTCAAATATCCACCGGTTCAATAGAGACGCACCGCGTATCCAAACAAATAAATCAAATATTCACGATTCTTTCGCTTTTTTTTTGTTCCGTCAAAATCATTTCGAACCACAAAAATAATAGGAATTCAAATCGTTTGACAGGCCAAAGTAATAAATATCTTCCGTATGTGTGCACCATTCCACCGTGTGCATTTTTTTTTCTCCTGCTATTCCACTCCGTCGCAATCATGTGCATGAATTGCTTTTTTTTCTGCATTCAATCCGTGCTGTTCGCTAACCCTAAACAAAAACGCTATACGTGGTACGCACATTTGGATGCGAGCGCGTCGCGGTCTCATTTGTATGCGGATTTCCAGTGATTTTAATCTAAAAATCATAACTACATGTGTCGACATATGTGAATTACAAATTTTGATGAATGTACTTATTCCCCATCAGTTTCAAAGCGCATAGCGACTCGTGTGGGAAAACATGCGACGTGTTTTTTTTTGTTCGTTGCATTCGAGCGATGCCAAAGCAATTTTGGTCGATGCTCGGTGTGCGATTTTATTGGGCCTTTACCACGATGAAGTTTATTTGTGGCCACACACCGCGGTTTTGGGATCCCCACAATCTATTTCGATGTGCCGTTCTATTGAAATTGCTTTTCTATACGATTTTTCCGAAGAGAACCAAAAAACTGACGAAAAAAAAAAAACTGAACCAAAAAAAGTTCACAAATTCTAAGAAATTGTCCAGAAATATCGAAAACAAATCGCTGGTCTACATCGGTAAAACCACATTGTTTTTACATCCAGATTTTGGCGTTTGCAAAAAACGTTCGTACCAAATCAAATTCCCAATTCTATAGACAACGGTTCGATGATGAACGTTTGAGTCATATTCTCATTAAACCGAGACAAAAAAAAATCACCCAAAAAGAACCTTCACATTGAGTATGATGCTACGTGATGATTTGCTGGTGTACAAAAGGCCATTTCTAAAGTTTCCCCCTTGTCGAACCATAAAAGTCTATTGTTGTTTCACACCAACTGAATAAATGGTTTCTTCTTTTTGGTTTAATTCGGGCAAATATCTAAAACGGTATCATCATTTGTGTGTGAGTGCGATAGACATTCCATTGCCTATATTTATTTTTGGATCGAACCAATTTTGGAACAACATTTTATAAATAAACAATCACAATCTGTGACAATTCGTGCCGAAGAGAGAGAAAGAGAGAGAGAGAGAGAGAGAGGAATATAAACGGTGCGTTTGCTGTTTGAAAAAACGGGCAGTGTCAGCACAAACACAATTACAAATTGCGAACAACGATAAATATGTTGGCTTTGTAATTGCAAATGAGGGCGACGAATAAATTCAATCAAAACAACATACATTGATCTATATAGACAAATGCTATGCCAATTGCGTATTGACCGAAATCGAAGACAAAAAAATTGATGTAATTAGGCCTTATCGCCTATCAAAGCCATTTTTTCTCTTTCAATAATTCTCGATGTGTTGAATCACCTCAATTGATAGGGCAAAAAAAAACGCCTTGAATTTTTTCTTTTCATTCATTGAAATACGAGCAATTCCAGTTGATTCGAGTCGTTTGATTGACTTCGTGATGAAATATTCAACTCAGTCAACGATTGGAATAAATCGAGACACGTACGTCGGCTATTTTTAATCAAAATTCCAGAATCAAAATAGATATCGAACATAAAATATTTCCGTTGGACAATTGTCAGATTCGATTCCAATTGGACTCGATTGGACCAAAAATAGTGAAGAAAAATTGAAGTAGTATCAAAATAGAATCGAAGTTGATGAAGTAAATATCGAAGCATAAAAGAAAATCAAGACAAGTTTTCAATTAAAGTAGCTCGGAGCTACTAGCTCCCGGATTGATTACTTTAAATACGATTTTAATGAACACAACATGATATGAGCATTTTCGAATGACGCTTGCTGCGATATCTTCGTATCATGGCATTTAATCGATGTGTACTCACTTCGCACGCAAACATAGCCACTGAAAATCTCACGACACTTGTGTTTAGTTGTGATGATAACGATAATTGAGAAGGAACCGTCCCTGTTATCATTTCCTGCCATCGTCAGAAAAAAAAACATTGTGCGATTTGTTTTTATCGTTAGCGAGCCGGATGAGCATCACGGTTTATTGCACGTAAGTCCCGAATATAAATTAAACATGACGATTAACAGCCAGTTTGTTTACGTTTTTTTCTTCAATGTTTTGCCGTCAGTGTTCAAATGAACACTTAAAGTAAATGATATAGTCTCTCAAACAGAGTAATATAGTGATTAAATGTACGTGCATCGTTTAGTGATGTCCATTAGACGCCATGTGATAAAAAGCGGACTTTTAAAGCGGAATGTGAACACATTTCAATGAGATAATAAATTCTAATCGCAAGTGGCATTACATTCACTTTCTTTTGCAGAAATGATGAATCGCAAAATGTGAGGTCGTTTCGTTCACATTCATTGACTTTTTTTCTCTCAAACGTACTCCAAATTATGACCTTTTCCGATTTTTTCACACATTTTAATCCAAAAATAACACTCATTTAGTGTAGGTCCAGAGCGGTCAACGAGCGCTCGTTCGTTCGTTCGTATGCGAACATGTTCGTTTGTTCGTTCGTTCGTTCGTAGAATCTACGAACATGTTCGTTCGTTCGTTCGTTCGTTCGTAGAATCTACGAACATGTTCGTTTGTTCGTTCGTTCGTAGGTAAAATTTCATTTTTTTTTCAAACATAAAATTTTCTTATTTCTTAAAAAAATATAGGAATGATCTTATGTACTCAATAATACTGTAAGCACTGTAATACTGTAATTTTCAAGTTGTGAACATTATTTTCGCACAAAAAATTGAACGAATATTTTTTTGAGTTTCCACTTGCACAATTGGATGCATAATAATGCAATAAGCAATAATAATGCTGGTTTCAAATGTTGTGAAACGAAGAAAGTGATGCATACGGAGAGAGAGATAGAAAAAGTGACAAAGACAGTGTTCATCTCTTTTTGCCAAGTATGGTGTGCACATTTCAGATTCGTCTTGTTGCTGTGATATCATGAAGCACGTTGTCTCTCGAACTGTGTGTGTTGTACGATCACAGAACAAAACATTGTCTAAACGTATAACTGTTTTGCACGTGGCGATTAACACAGTGCGTAAAACACACACTGTTTGAACGTCCATGTGATTTAAATCATCACTGCAACAAGTCTCTCTGAATTGCACACCATAAATGACAAAAAGAGATGAACTTTGCTGTCTTTGTCATTTTTATCTCTCTCACTCTCTCTCTCTCTCTCTCTCTCTCTCTCTCTCTGTATGCATTACTTTCATCATTTTACAACTTCCACGTTCATGTCCAGCTAATTATCATATCATTCTATTCTCGCCAGCGGACACACAAACCACAATGAGTGAAAGTAAGATTTTCAGCGATGTTTTTTGTTGAGTGAAGATGTTTTTAATTAGTTTTATGCATTCAATTGCGCAAGTGGAAACTCAAAAAAATATTCGTTAAATTTTTTGTGCGAAAATAATGTTCACAACTTGTGAATTACAGTATTATAGTGCTTACAGTATTATTGAGTACATAGGATCATTCCTATATTTTTTCAAGAAATAAGAAAATTTTATGTTTGAAAAAAAAAATGAAATTTTACCTACGAACGAACGAACGAACAAACGAACATGTTCGTAGATTCTACGAACGAACGAACGAACGAACGAACATGTTCGTAGATTCTACGAACGAACGAACGAACAAACGAACATGTTCGCATACGAACGAACGAACGAGCGCTCGTTGACCGCTCTGTGTAGGTCCTACTAGTATACATTTCATAAAATTCGAATTTTTTTTTTGAATTCGATGGAATTTTTTCTATCAAGACAAAATCCACCCAAACGGTATTAAATAGATAAAAATAAACCCGAAACAGTCAATTCACATGATAAATGTGTGGTTACTTATTTCAAGCAATTCCTAGTTCATGCACCTTCAGGGGTAATTTAGCTGTAATAGCTATTAAATCAAGTAAACATGACACTGAAACCCGAAAAAAATCATTCAAGCGATGAATGAGACAAAAACAAATAAGTTTTGTGTTTGGTTGTTGGATGCAGAAAAAAAATTAGTTGTTCCTAATGAACAAAATTAGAACTATGGTCTCATTGACCACAAAAGAAACTTTTTTTTCGTTTTGTTTTGTTTCGAATCATTTTTTTTTCATTTCAAGTTAAAAATTTGCTCGGTGAGACAAAAACCAGCAATGCTGGTCGAGCATTAAATTGAAGTCAGTGATTTTTTTGTTTATCTCCCAGTCGCCAGAAGCAAAGCCATTATTTATTTAATTCGTCTTATTTGAATATCGAAAATAAACATCGTGTGTTGTTGTTGTTGTTGTTGTTGTTGTTGTTGTTGTTGGTCATCGCTTTATTTACAGCTGTTCTCCAATGAAGTGTCGCACTTCGAACGACCGAACGAACGAACGAATGAACGAATGAAGGGAACAAAAAAACATTCAAATCAATGCAAATAATAACAATGTATTGTTATTCCAGCGACTTTATTATACGGGCACCGAAACATGCTTTTAATAGCATTGTAATCATTCTGACCGTAGACAGTGTGTGTTTTAGTACGCACACTGTTACGACTCATGAAAAAAAAACAGTGGCCGTCTCATTGTTTGCGTGTTGAGTATGGTTATCGCTCGTTCTCTTTTTTTGCATCTTCACACAATTGAACACCTAAGCCTAACACAGCGCCAAGTCACTGACAGAGTAGCTGTAATTGTATGTGGTTTTATGTCGATTTCGCACACTTTCAACACACATCTTGCTACACGGCACTTCTTGGTTGTGCAGTGTGTATACACTACACAGGCAAGACATGCCGTGTACACAATACAAACCGAAAATGTTGATCTTGTGGTCGCACACAAACGAACGAACCAAAAAAATAACAACAGACAGACGAAACGAAACGATTTGAGTTTTCGTTCGCTCCAGTTTGATAGTTAATTGAAAGTTTTAAAATGAAAGTTGATGCTGAGCCGAAACGTTCGTCGTCAGTGTTGTGTGCGCTCTGGAGCTCGTTTTGTTGTCGAATTGAATTTGTGTGAATTTTTGAACGGAGATTTTTTTTTCTTTTGGTTTCTCTGATTTCATTTCTTGCGAACCGATCGGAGTGAATTTGTGATTGGGTAATTAAATGTTTTGTTTTTTTTTGTATTTGTTGCTAATATTCTAAATAGTGTGACTTTGAACTGGAATATAGTGTCATGACTTTGAATTTTGATGTGATTGAATCGAAATAATTTTCGCTGATTCTCGAATGCTCGTCATCGTTGTTGGGTCGTTGTTGTTGACGAATCTCTTCAAATCGATTTGTATAATGCATTGTTATCTGTAATTGATACTTATGTCATTCAGCTGTTGTAACTGATGATGATTGTGGAAAAAATGCATCGATCGGAAGATGCTAATCAAACTGTTGCTTAATTGAAATAAATTGAACTTAGGTTAAACCTATTTCAAACGATTAATCGAAGCAAACGATTTTTTTCTAGAATCTCAATTTTAGATCGAAAAAACTGAGCGACATTCAAACTCAATCCTGAGGCTGAAACTCTATTCGTGAGAAGAAAAAAAAAACAATTTAATGAACCGATAGAAAAATGAAATGAGTGAAAAAAAAACATAAGTAGCATTCAGTCCGTTGATAATTTGTGGTTCACCTTAAAAGTTCGTTGAAGAGAGTAATTTTCATATTTTCTTGTTGTTCGCGCCGTGTGTGTGTATCAAATTGCGATTCGAAATCGATAGAATAGAATCGAAGGCAGTATAAATTGAATTCGTTGTGGCTCACCGTGAATACCCCAGCACCATGATTTGTCTAGATTTCACAGCGTTGATGTATGAATTGTCGTATGAATCAAAGTATACGATAAAGGCCACTTATTCACTTTAATAAAAAAAAATGTAAACGTCAGATACGAAAAATAAATGAGAAACGTCTCATGTACAGTACACACCAGGCGATTACATACTACGGCCAAAAGAAGAAAAAAGTCACTATTGACTGAACACATAATTAAATCGTTGCTTTGGTGTCATTACGATATGAAAACTCGACAATAGCGAATTTTTTCCTTTAATACACTACACGTTGATGTTTTTTCTCTTCATTCTTAACTCATTAGCCACTCGTAGAGAACACAGTGTAATTATTGTTGATTCGCAAAAAAAAGCAGAACAAAAAAATTCCCTTTTAACAAAAAGAAAATTATTTGTTTATTCTTTTGCAGCTAATTTTCAAAGAGGTTATCGCATACGTCGTTGTCCAATGGAGAACAGAAGTCGAAATTTTTAGCCTGACCCCAAAGATCAATGTGAAATAAAAAAAACTTTTGCGCAATCAAAACAGTAGCACGTTGCAGAAAAAAAAACAGTTTTACGGTTGTGATTCAAGTGTTTGCAGTTTGGAAATATTTACAATTTAATTTTGATTAAGATTGAAGTGAATGAAGAGGAGGAGAAATAAACAGAATCAAAAAACAAACAGATAAATACAGAAAAACTTCAAAAAAAAGACAAAAAAAGTCGAAGAAGAAGAAGAAAAAGACAAATTTCAGAAAAAAACGAAGAAGATTGCATTGACTCTAAGTGTGTATTAGAGCAAAAAACTTTAATAATTGAAAAAAAAATAACACAAATCAAAGAATTAAACCGATATTGAAGGACAATTTTGCGGTTACAAAAAGCCAAATTTCTAAAGAAACTTTATCGTAAAAAATTGCCAAATTCCAATTGTGTTTGTGTGCTGTGTAAAAAATTTGTGAATTTCCCATGGATACGGCTTGGCGTTTTCGTTTGGTGTTGATCATGACATTTGCAATCATCATATTTGGTGACATGTTGGGCTATGCCAATGTCAAAGGCGACAAAGACTCCAATGGAAACCACCAACGCAACGTTGGCACCACGCTCAAAAAGGCCCATCACAATCACCATAGCCCTCATCCGAATATTGAAGGTATTATATCATTCATATATGGGCCATATAATCCAGCCCACTAAATTCTTATCAGTTATTCTTATCGTTACCATTTTTTATACGCTCTCTCACATCTCTTTCATTCAAATGACCTTTCTGTGGGTCACAAGTGTTCGACACAATTTATCGGCTGCGTCAAACAAGTTTGTGGAAAAAAGTTACCGAAATGAACTGGAAAAACAGGCAATACTTGAGACCCATGTCTTGGGTTTGACAAACTTTGAGTGATATTAATTTTTTTCTAGTCTGTTGTAGTCTTAAAAGTCTGGCTTTTTAATCGAACTGAACAGACTCGGTTTCTGAGTACTGGATTTTGTTTGAAAAATCAAGTCATCTCTGGTTTTGCCGTTGAAATAAAATGTAATACGATTGATGATTCGAAGTTAAAAAGAACGAGTTTGCAAGCGTTTAAAGAAACGTCATCGCTCCCATCTGATTTACGTCATATTCCGTTTAATTCAAATGAATTGTTGTATTTAATTCACTTTAAAATTCATTTTTTTCTCTCAATTCACGTCTAATTTTGTTTAATTTTTTTTCATTCTCGTCATATTTTCGACAGAGAAAATTGATGATAAAATGAGGAAACATTGAGTTGCTCAATTTGTTCAAAAACCAAGATTGAATTAAATTGTTTAGCTAATACAACGACGTGAATTTCGCATTTCCCATCAGTTTTCTAATGAAATTATCTCCACTAAATTTTATTCCTGACTATATTTCCGTTGCTAATTGCCTAATCGGCCACCGTTGCTCAAACTGCTAATAAAATTTGCAAACAAAATGGTTAAAACAAAACAATTCACAAAATTGATGCAAAGAGGAAATTTTTGGTTACGGGTATAAAATATTTACAGCGGTGATTTTTATTCGAACCGTGCGAAAGCGCCGCAATAAAAAAAATTTTGTTTCTATGCACACGCGCGCAATTCAAATGAGTTAATGTGTAGAAGCAGTAAAAAAAACGGTGGAATATAATGAAGGGAATTACGTTTGCCGTTCACGTAACAAACGTTAATGTTGCGTGCAGAAAAAAAGCATGTTTGCATTGTTTATTTCTTGTGTAGCTCATCGACTGTTTGTTTTTTTTTTTATTTCCCCAGATTTAACCATTTGTTTTCGCTTTTTTTTCGTTCGTTCCACAGATTCACCGTCAACAAAAGACATCGAAGATTTTATATCGAAAAAATCGAACAGTAACACCAAATTGCTGCAAATCGATTTAAAGGACAAAATTACATTGGCCAATAATATGCGTGAAGCATGCTTACCGAAGTTGCTGTGCGAAATTGCCGCCAAACCATCAAATGTCATCACAGAAAAAGAACAAAACCTGCTCGATTTGATTAGGTAAGATACCGTCTGTTTCCATATGCATGCAAGCCGTGTACGCTCACGTTCAACCTCAAATTGGTCAACCGCAAAAAAAGAAGAAGATGAACGGCTCTTGTGAATATATGTACTCAATCAAGTCGATCGGATGAGAAAGAGAGAGAGAGAGAGAGAGAGAGAGAGAGAGAGAGCGACCTCCGTATCAACATTGTTGAATTGAATTGTTGCTTCAGAGAAAGCAATGAACGCTAAATACCCAACGCGAATACAAAGAGAAATGTGAATTTTTTTTCGTCTTCAGTACAGTCTTGCAGAGTCTCGTAACAACTTTCACTCTCTTTCTCTGCCACAATGAACGCTTCAAATCGCGGATTGTATATTGAAAGTAAAATTGTATTGATATGCGTCGGATGGAAAAATGTGAACAGTGCTCACTGTGTACACATTGTTTCAAGTGAGCGATTTTATTTCGAAATGACGCGACTACATTTTGAGTTCAACAATTAGCGGCTTTTTTTCTGCGTTGATAAATCTTACCGAAAGAGTCAGCGCAATTGTGATGCGAGAACAACGTCATTATATAATTAAAAAAGACGTCATTACGCTTAACAGAATCGGTTTAATGGCTACAACGACAAAATCCTACGAAATTCATGGCTCCAATAAACAAAACATTTCGAGAAAAAAAAACGAAATGGTTATTTTTAACATACCTGATAGACTACTTTCTTTATATGGATATACGGTTTAAGCAAATTCATTCCATGGCACACAGACTCATTCCGCATTTTGTTGGTGTGCAAATAAATCCCGCAGCGCTTTGACTGATGAATATGATATTTGCTCGATGGATTTTATTTTCGTGCTAATTTGCATTTGTTTTCTTTTTTTCGGCAGATCGACGACACTGTCGTTTGTTTGGCAGTATTCAACGCCGACCAAATGGCATTTCGCCGCACACATGGGACAATTGATGCGTGACACAATCGATTCGTTTGGTCGAGCAACGGGTTGCTCGGAACTATGGCCACAATGCCCATTTAATTCAGCCACACTGCTACAACTCAACAAAAAAGATGCCGGCAGCCTATCTGGATACTAAATGAAAAATCTTCTACTGGACTTCGTCCGAATGAACAACCCCTTTAAGCCTGCGATGACACGACTCAATATGTTTAAAAAATATATGAAAGAAAAACAAATTGTGATAAAACCATGAACTCTCGATCAAAATTTATTTACAACGAACGTTACTCACATTCTCAGAGCACACGCATGACTTTTTGATGATTCGCTGTGAATTTGCTCGAATTTTGGGAATTGTAGAGAATTTTAGGGAAAAACACACTTTGTATTCCATTGAAATATTATGATGAGTTTAAGTAGGTGAAAAATGTAGAAATTAGAAAAGGAAGAGGAGGAGGAGGAGGAGGAGAAGAAGAAAAAGAAGGACTCAAGGGGCGATTCACGAGCGCTTTCGAGTTCGAGTTTTTGCAAGTTTTTGCGAGTTTTTGAGTTTCATATTTAAAATGTAAAATGGATTTAGGAAATTATTTTACATTCTGCAGTTGATTTGCTTGTGTATATCGTTTCGTTAATATTTTAAATCAGTTGTGAATGCTTACAAAATCATATTCATGTGTTTTTTTTAAGTAAAATTCAACTTTTCGGGCATTATTCGGTTTGCCCGAGTTTTGCGAGTGCGAGCGTTCGTGAATCTCCCCATGGAAGGACCCATAAAAAAAATGTAGACTGCTGCTAGATTTTGCCAGCAACTTGATCTAGACCTGGTCTACAGTCAAGTCTGCACCACTTTTCGGTGCGAAATGACCTGTAGACCAAGTCTACGTGGTCAAAGCTGCCGCCCAATTTTTCCGCTCATCATAGGAAATCAATAAACGAATTTGGTCTAGACCATAGTCTAAGCTCGGCAAAATACAGCTGTAGACTTGGTCTAAATTTTTTCATGGGGAAAAGGAGAAGAAAGTGAAGAAAAAGTTTGAATTGATGAAAATTGGTGAAAAAATGAAGAAATAATGAAAAAAATGGAGAAAAAAAAATCAAAAAAGAAGAAAATGTAGAAGCAACCGGAAAACTTTGTTTTGAAATAAGGAAGTTTGAAGAAAAGTCAACCAGGTTCAAGGTTTTAAAGAAGAATAAACTCTGTAATTTATTCCAAAAGTGTAGCAAAAATGACATAGCACTCTAGATTCGAATGCGATGCAAATGTGTGTGTAGGCGATAGAATGTTGTACGAATCGAAATTATCTCATATAAAAAATGTCAATTTATCCTTCCGGTTTTTTATTTGTTGTCTTTATTCTAAGTAATTTTTGTTATTGTTCTAGAATTTAATGCTAAGCGGCCACAAACCTATACCATGTAAACTTAATATTTTATTATTTATGAATGCAAATGATACAACGATAATTGAGTCAGTTGTGTGTGAATGTGAGTAGAAATAATTGTCGATGGAGCGGGACAACTGAAACAAAAGAAGAAGAAAAACGCAAATGTAACTTCGGATTGAATGTAATGAGCAATTCATAAATCTAGTCCCTTCACGTTCAATGATGAATTTAGCGCAAGAAAATGGAAATGTTAGCCGAATTTCCGAATTAGATGATTAAATTGTTTTTTTGGAATAGATATTTAGAGATGAGAAAAACTGTTGTAAATTTTCCTCTGAATATTATGTATAAAAAATGATGCAAATAAAACATTTGAAATGAACACTTCTGACAATTGAAGCGGTGATGTGTTATTTATGCTAATTACCTTCCTTTTTTTTTGTTTCGAAGAGCAAAAACGTGCGAATCATGTTGAAAAATGTGCGAAGTCATGTCATTAGAACGGGTTATCGACAAAAAATATTGTGAAGATGATTTTTTCTGGTCTATCAATTTTTACCGCTCTAAAGCCAGCTGAAATGAGCTTCATCGGCGTTTTTTTCTTGGCGAAATTCGTGCAAAGCATTGGACAAAGTTTTTGTTTTTTCTTACATTCAATTATAATTATATATATAATATATTATAATCACGTATCACTTACCGGTTTTTTTCTCTCGCTTCTTCTGATTGCTGATAGCAAAACTAGCTCCTATCCTTTATTTAGACAAATGCGTCAATTTTAATGGCATTTAATTTATTCGGAAAACAAGAAATTACAATCGTACACAAATATTCAAATCATCCAAAGTCCGAAGAAATGCTCCAACTGAATTATGATTTCTGATATCTCGGCAGCGGCATTCCTCGGAATATGGTTATCGATTTTCTATTTTTTGGCACCATATGGCCTTTCCAGTTTTCTTCTTCTTCCGCTTTGACTTAATCTGGAATTTGTATCGCACTGTCATCGCAGAAATTATTTGTGCGTTAGATTGACATTTCGAATAACGAGTTAGCAGTTAATTTTGCATGCAGTGGAAACATGCTATCTATGACACAAATTGCGTAAGAATTCTGGCAATCAAATGTGATTTGTGAACGAGTTTTTTTCGGCTTTTTTTTTGCAAACTGTTAACACGTGTTAACCAAACTAACGATCGGCCTGTTAAGAAAATGGTACGGTTCTATTTGGTTTTTTTTGGTAGTTATAAAAAGGCGAGCCTCTTTTGTTAATAGGTTATTCAACCGAAAATTTTATCTAATCAACGTCGTTGATTTAATGGCTACAACGGAGTTAAGCACATAAATAATTCCATATCTAATGGCTAGTAAAATTTTACCTACGCATTTCGATGGTGTTTTTTTTCGAAAGCAAGAGAAAGTGAAAGAAAGTCGTCATCATGCGAATAATCGAGTAAATTGAGTGTTTAGTATTGAACATTGTTCAATATTATTAGACGGTAGTCAAACAGTGAACAATGGACTGAACACTGAACTACCGTTTTTTCAACCATGGTTGATTTTATATGAAATTTTAGCTTTGAAAGCTGTTGACTTAAGCCAATTTACAGCAATTTATTCAATTAGGTATACGGGTCTAATAGGTAGTCTATATGTCTATAGAGTCCATGTAACCATAGAGCTCATATGTAGCATATAGACTCTATGGCACAGAGGTTCACTCCAAATTGAATAGATTTGTTCGATAAAAATTTCAAATGGCTTCATTTTCAATAAGTTTTATCTCGACATAATTGTCATAAGGTGTCACATCTACATTATGAGTCAATTTTTTTCGGGGATAAATTTAAATAATTAAAGATTGCCTTTTTTCGCAAGAAAAATGCTTCAATTTTATAATGAAATTTGCATTCGATACTTCGATTTATAATCAAAACTCTGTAGTCTTTGTCAGTGTATCTCCTCTAAAATGGTCAATCAGGCTCAAGAATAACACAAGAACAATTGTAGCAGAAGATATAATGAACAACATATAACGGGAGTTCAGCTTAAAAGAACGACACGCTCTAATTTGATCTAAATTCTTCGATTGATCTCTTAATTTCAAAATTAAATTCGAATAAATCTTGAATCGAAAGGTCCGTACCAATTCGACCATTTTCCTCTATCATTTATCAAATCGAATGACTCCAAATACACGTGTGATTTGTGCAACTTAAATGCAATTCATTTTATTTTGTTGCGAATTTTCCTCTATTTGCTACGTTAATACTAGTACTACTACAAATATTTGTATTTTGCTCTATTTGATATTTTTCTTCCGTTGACCCCAAAATATTTGCACACATGTTCCGGTATCGATGGAATCAATTAAATTTAATTGCTTCTATTGATCTACGGCATCACACGTACAAAAATATCCACTTTTATGTACTAGCTTGCTAGCAAAGTTACATTGTCCGGTTGACAGTTCAATGGACAATGTCCACTGAACACCGTCATTGTCCACCAAAAGCAAACCAGAATGATAAATTGCAATACTCGAATGTTTACTATAAAATCATTAAGGCAATAAAATAGGGGAAGAAATTCAACTTGTTCCATCCATTCTGTTCGTAGTCTTTGGTAATTAGAGCACCATTTTCAGTCATCATTCATTGTGATGACTTTGTTTAACTGCATTTTGATATGAAATCAATTTATTAACGAAATCATTTGATTTTCCCTTCATTCTTTTATTTTTTTGGTTGGTTACAACGTGTAGAAAGTTTACTCTTTAGAAGCAAGTGCAAATAAAGTGCATAAATCATTTATAAACAGATACCTCACAATGTTGTTGAACCAACATCGGCACAAAAAAAAATTGTGAAATATTTTTTTAGTTGGAAATTTCTTAAATTAACTCGCAATGTACGTTGTTTTGTCTATGGCATAGACTCTATGCAAACTCATTCAATGGTGGTAACGTAACAAGAACAAGATTGTTCTTTTTAACCCCCTGTAACTCTCTTTCCACTAATTTGGCATGTACTTCGGTATGAGTATGTTTCATCCAAGATGGGAAGTACACAGATGCATTTAACATAGCCAAAGGATATGTTTTCCAGAGAATCGAATAACAATTAACATGTAAAATTATTCATTATGATTGCTGTCATCATTGTTATTGTGTGCGATGTGCGGTGTGCATTGTGTGTGCGTTGATGCTTAATTAAACATATATATATATAATAATCGAAGGAATGCCTTCGAGCAAACAATTACCAAGCCAAGCGTTTTCGTCGACAATTTCGCTGTTATACAATATTTAGTTTGACGAAAATAGCATATCCGTGCCTGGCAGCCTCAATGTTGATTCACTCAATTCTCATGCTCAACTTAGTACGTTTGAATTTAATTATGCAATCAAAGTATTTGTTTCTTGAAATTTATTCATGCGACATCTTTGACGGTGTGTAACATCGTTCTTGTCGTTGTCTCTTGGGCGATATGAATATGACACAGGTGCAGATGAAAGGTTTCGCAGATGGATTTAAGATGTAATATGATGTTAGAATTCAATAAAGATAAATTTGTGGCTTACAATTTCAAGTCTCAAGAATTGTTTAGAAGATGAAACAAGGCGTCTTCTTGAAATGACAATGAAATTGAAAATGGATAGTACTGCTTTTCAAAAGGAATGTGTTAAAGTGGTGCAAACGAAAACAATTAGTTACAAACTTTTTAACCATTGAAGACAGTTACGACGTAATGATGGAAACTATATTGAAGCTAATCAAGCACACAACTCAAATGATGATTACAAAAGATTATTTTTCCAACAAAATGATGAGAAAAAGTCGTAAAAATGTGTAATTTTAATCGACAGCTCGATCCAATGTGTGAGGAATGAGAGATCCCAAAAATCTATATATACCAATGGAAGTAGAGTTGAGTGCAAGATTGCATCACAGAATCTTGTTAAAAAAAATCTAAGGAACCAAGCGTATTTTAACTGTCATAACTAATTGACATGGTCAACCACAAGTTACAGCTCACTCGTTCGTTGTTTTAGAATCAATCCTTTCGTGTCTTATACTCGGGCCAAAATTTAAGCATAGCACACAAAGGAGACAGTAAAAGTTTTCTTTTATGACAATTGTTGATTTTCAAATCGGTATTGTCGTTCAAATACTGAGCTCTGAAGGGAACAGACGACCAAGCCTTAGCATATAAAATAAATTCAAATGTAATATCTGGGAATTTTTCCTATTTTTTTTTCAAATCATAAGTCGCCACGAATTCAACGACCATACATATATTTAAATTTAAGAATATCGTGAAAAAAGTTTTGAACCATCAACTCGACACGCAAAAAATGATCGAAATTCAGTTTATAGTTTTGATAGTCTCATCAATAGCATTGATTTTGTGCATTTTTGATCAGAAAACGCAAGCTGTTAGTTCTAAGGCAGGCATAGGAATGCCACTGATGCAAAGGAAGGCGATATTCCGTATATCGCTGTAATCGAAGTAGAAGTTGAAAAATACCATGAAAGTAGTACCAACGCATTACTAAATCCCATCAAAGTGATCATCGCAATTATAATTTTTGTTACGTTTGATTGAACAGCAGCGGATCGATTACTGTACAAACACATTCATTACTTCTATTTTTCCGGCTTTAAAATGTAGACAAATATGAGTTTTTGTAACCATTGATAATATTCTTCTCAAGTGATTTTTTTTTTAAAATAAAAACGATTGATTCTCTCTATCAAGGGAAAACGAACATCGACATCAGTACTTATAAGCCCATACAGGAATTGCCAACATTTCAATTTGAATATTAAAACTCTATGCATCACAAAAGGTTATTCCGACAGAATCTAAGGAAATTTGCGTATTTTATTTTATCACATCAGGTTTACATTGTCATCCACATATCACAGCTTCCTCGATGATTGTTTTGGTTTCAAGCATTTTGTGTCTTCTAATCCACCAAAAATTCAAACGGGGCCTACTGCGCAACATTTCATTCACAAAATAAACTTTGAATTGGACTGCAAAGCAAATTTCATTCCAGTACAAATCCACGTATTTTGTTTTGCTTACCGAAAATTTCAGTTGGTTTAAACATTGTTTCTCTTCAGTTACGAAAATGACATAAGACAATTTCAATTTGTGAACCAAAAATCCACTCGAATGATTCACATGATGTGAACCGAAGGAGACGCAAAATGCATAGAATTTGAATTAATTGAAGTGCTTAACTTGGCCCACCGCATCTCAAAGCAATAAAGCAATTAAGGGACATATCAATATAAACAATGCCAAAGATGAGAACTGACGATGCGCAAAGCGTGCACACACACAAAAAGAACAAATGATAAATGAATTTTTGGATTGCAGCGCATGCA